AAGGGAGGTTAGCTGCACAGTCAGTGAAACAGGGTGTTCATCACAATAACTGGGATAATAACTTAGGTTAAGTCTGTACTTACTGGATTTTTTCTAACGAGTTTCACAGCCAGTGCTCTGCAGTGAAGATTATTGCCATGCATCTAATGTCAGGTGCCAGGAGTACTCTCCACATGACATCAACCTCTCCTGCTCCTAAATGCAAAGTAATCATTGTCTCCTAGAGCAAAGCATTTATTAAGACCTCATCCCAGGACACTTGACAGTAAAAACTATAGTATTAGCAACCCACAGAGCCAAAACTAACAGTAGGCAGAGAGAGCAGTGGCCTTTCTACATCAAGTATTGCCAGCTAAGACATTTTTAGTTTTGGTGTCAGTACTTAAGGGCTTTTGGGAGAACTGTGCATTATCTCTCTAGCTTCTGGAATTTCTTCCTAAGTGAGACAACACATCAGCACATTAACAACAATAGTCCAAAGTTGAAACCTATCACTGAGGCTCAAGTTCTATTTATAATAAGTAGCATATATGCATAATCTCAGATAAAAAAAAAACAACAACTCTTTTTCGACTAAGCCTATATGGCTATTTGTAGTTATTTCTGCATTGCAATACCCTTACCTCTCCTACTGATCTATAGTTATTTTTAAACAAAAATTCCAATTGGATTCATTTGTTACCACTTCATAAGAGTAAGGCCAGGATTTTCATCCATCACCTATCAGAAGGTAAGACCCTGCGGAATGTAGCCAAGACTAGGAAGAGGAGAGAGTAGCAGTATAAGGGCACCAGCAAAATAAACACCCACTAAGAATCGTGAGCCTACAATAAAACTGGACCAAACTTTGACAACAGGAAAACACAGAAACAAAGAGATCTAATAGTTGATACTTAAAAATTCTATTCAGGTTGATGTCCTTGAAACCCCCATGGTGGGGATGGGTGGGGAGAGGGGCTCTAGGCCTATATTCATAGCGCCTAAAAAATAAAAGAAGTTTCCATGATAACCAAAATGGACATGGATCATGAGCTTATAGTGCTTCCAATCTGAAAGGGAGATCAATATTGGATAACTGCACAAAGAGACACAAAATTGTAATGAATTTTAGTTATGCAGTGCTGTGGGACTATAAAATAATAAGGTCAAGAAAGGTTTCCTTCAGGAAGTGACTATTGTGTTGAGATACTAGGCAAAAAGAAACTGGGAGTGATCTGCTGAGGAAGAAAGAACCACGCAGAAGGCTTTGGTGGGAGGTCACATGATATGGAATAAGGACGGAAAGGCCTCTGTGACTGGAATGCAGGAAAAGAGAGGAGCACAGTTTGAGATGAGGTGGGGACATTTAGGAAAGTGCTAAACCATTCGAGCATAGTAAGCAGCAAGGAATTTTGTTTATATTCTGAGTAATGATCTTTAGAGAATTATGTCATGTCAATTTTGTAGTGTGTAATACTGTCTTGGGCTGGCTATGGAGAACAGACAAAATTGGTGCTTGGTGGATGTGAGCAGATAATTTAGAAAGCCTCTAGAGTAGCCCAGGAGAGAGATTATGGTAGTTGGGACCAGGATACTAATGGTCCCAAAGGGAGAAAAATGGATAAATGCAAGAAATTTTTTGTAAGTAAATCTGACCATGTTAGGTGATGGAATTTGTGGAATAAAGGGGAAAGGTGAGAGGATGATTCCTATTTTTTTCTGGTATACGGTGATGACATTTACTGAGCTCAGGAACATCAAACAGATTAAGTACAGGGAAAAATCTAAGGGTTGCTGGAAGGGAGGTGGGTGGGGATGGGCTAAATGGGCAAGAAGCATTAAGGAGGGCACTTGTTGGGATGAGCACTGGGTGTTATATGCAAATGATGAATCACTAAATTCTATCCCTGAAACTAATAGTACACTGTATGTTAACTAACTTGAATTTAAATAAAATCCTAATTGGAAAAATATCAAAAATGCATATTTGGGAAGGTGACCAAGAGCTTTGTTGGCAACATGTTAAATTTAAGGCACTTAGATATATTAATTTGGAACTGTGTGTCACTGAAAGCATATATTTGTGAGAGTCATAAAGTTTGCTTTCTTAAGAATTTTATTCACCCTTTTTAAAATGAGCACTGAATGAATGTTTCCTCTTTGCTCTATCTTTCAGGGTTATTGAACCTAATTAATTAACCACTTTGGCATTCATAGTTAGCATATTACTCTGTTCTATAAATAACTCGAATATTCCATATATGCTTTTATGGAGCAAGTATCTAGGACAATTTCAAGTACATAAATGCATACCTAATGGGATTACATGTAAACAAAAAATCTATCTGGTTGAGAACCTATATATTTTTTAAACCACCTCATAGAGATAATAGAAGAATCCAATAAATTAATGTTTATTAAAAAGTACTGGAAGATGTCAAATGATAATATATTGATTATCATGATAAATGGTTAAGCCACTGTCAACTAATGTTATCAGAGTTGATAATGCACAAGTCTTAAACATAGGGAAATTTGTTTCAGAAAAATAAAAGTCTTTTAAATATTATACATTTAATGTCAGTAAGAATACTTAAACTATTAAGAATGCATATTAGGCTTGTGGAGTGATTATCATTACTGCCACGTATATAGTAAATTATCTTCATTTACACATATACTTATGTATATATTTAGATAGGCATGCACATCTCCTGTTCAGATATTATCGTTTATTATTTAAATTTATCACAGTGCTTTAGTTAAACAAGAAAGAACAGTAGAAACTGACAAAAGTACTATTTTACTGGCCAAGGCTAATTGAAACTCCCACAGTGAGAAAAGTAACCATCATTACAACCACTACCACCTCAATTGTCCAACACTAGTAACTAATAGATACTCCATTGCCTCATTGTTTTACCTACTTCATGCTTTATTTCCTCTAAGAAAGTTCCCAGTATTCCATTTATTTTTAAAGGGATTTTTAATGGATGTGCTATGAATTTTCAATGAGCTATTCGAAATTTGAAGAACCTAATTAGGAAAGTATTTACTTTCTCTTTTTTTCAGGGTGATTAATTCCATGCAAGACTTTCAGCCTAATGTTACTCCAAAGAAAAAATAGAAAGGGAAAAGGAGGTTCTACTTCTACAGACTAATGGACTGGTAATTTAAAAATTGAATTAAGCATTAACTCTGAAGAGTCCTTCTCAATATATAAATTATTTCTGTTTAGCCTTCTATTACCAGGTTAATTAAATAAATCCTTTGGCCTTGATTATAGCCATTAGTAAATGAAAATATATTTGAATTCTCTAAATCTTGTGATTTACACTAGAGAATCTATGTTAGTAAATATATTTCCCATGTTAACAGCTTCCTGATGTTTTATTTAGAAAAAGTCAACTTTATCTGTGGAAAACAAAAATTTATTAGCTTTCTAATTTTTGTTTGGGCATATAAAAATCTCTGTAGGTTTTTGAGGGGTTGTCTTTGAGAAACAAACCTTATATGTCTCTATATCTTCAAAATATGTGAAATCAACTCAAGCTTAGTTAGGGTCCACCATTTCTTTAAAAAGAGCAAAATCTGAAAAATCTGGAATGTCTTCCTCAAGTCGCTTTATTTTAATTAAAAGCTCAAGGACAAAAACAACGAAAGAAAATTTTAAGATAAATGAATAAATGATGTACCGAAAAAGTACAAGGTAATAAAATATGCATAGAAAAAAAAAGCTACGCTAAAATAATGATTCATAATCTATCTTCTGCATGCTCAGACTCATCATTTTATGCTACAGATATAGTTATAATGAATTAACTTCAATATAACCTAATAAATCCTTTCTGTTTATGTCTTGAAGTCCTTCTACGTCACTTTGAGTACACTATCAACATACTGGATGCCTGTTTTAACTATCCAATAGGTAGCACCACGATTCAGAAATAAATTCTTAACAACAGTCTCTGTTCCCTAAAGGACACAGACCTCTCTGTTTCTGGCATACTAAAGCTGTAATATGTTGTAAAATAAAACTAAGGTTATTAAGTATTTTCTACCCATTCTCTTCCAGGAAATTTTAATTGCTAAGCACCTAATTACAAGAAACAATCAGACTTGTACTGTCTATAAATGTGCACTCAGAATAATTTTCTGTGTGGTGACATTTTGATACAAATACGTCCCTCAGAAAAGTAATGGATGCCTACATCAAGAATTTGGGAGAAGGGAAGAAATATGTCAAATTTAAACCAAGTAAACTAGAAACATGGCTAAACCATAGAATTTTAAGTATGAACCAGGAAAGTCTGAACATTTCCCAAGATACCGCCCAAAGATGAATATGTAACTGGGAATTTGTTTGGGGGTACTGTATAATATATTACATTATGCATCTCGTACACTGTTCATGTCCCAAGTTCAATCCATTTCCCTGCCTGTGATTTCTCTTTTATTCTTTTAGTATGTGTATTCATTAGCTGCCATAAACTCTCCTTCAATGACACAGAGAAGATGTCACTCAGTAAACCAACCAATCAAAAGAAGTACCATTTCCTGCACTAGTCCCCTACCCTCCATATACCACTGGACATCATAGTCATGGAAAGGGCACTTGATATTTAGGAAACAAAAGACCAGAGATTTTATTCCATATTCATAATTCATTAGCCAAGCAACTATAATAAAATACTTGTTCATTCTGAATCCATTTGCTCATGTGCAAACATTATCATTTTAATCTTTCCCCTGTTTAGGCCTCAAAGCTGAAAATATAAATCATGATGATCATGTGAAACATCCTGAAAAACATATCAGAAAATCCCATAAAGATACAGGTTATCAACATAAAAAGGAGTAACTGTATCTTCAGAAAGACAGAACTCAAAATAGAAGTAAGATAGTCAGTGATGAACAATGTGGGTTTTAATTTGTATGCTAATTTGCCAGATTTCCAGTTAGCCTCCTCTAAGTGTTTTTAAAACCACCGGCAGTGATCAAACTGAATGCAGTCAACTTACTTCTGATGCCAGAAGAGTTCCTCACTGCTGTGAAGGAGTCAGCACTCTGTCTGGCTGCCGAAGAAGACGGACAGGGTGAAAGCATCTCCAAAGCTGATTCTGAGGAGAGTGTCAGAAGGGTGCTCAGCTACTACGCATCTTGCCCACACCTGGCTGAATGGTTACAGGGAGTCTTCAAAGGAGACAAGCACAAAAAAATGTGTATCAAAACATGTTTATAAAGCATCTTTGAGAAATAAAGTTGCTGTTAACTGTGTGCTCAATCTCAAAGAGTATCAGGAACATCAGTAAATAGATTTGCACAATAAGACTTTCTGGTGGAATGTGCAATACGCTGTGATTCCAACAGATAGGTCAGCATTCTGGTTTTCATCGGTAGTTTTCTCCTCTCATGATTGAAGACAGTTTCAACAAAAGCTATATGACTCAACTTTCTTTACTTTGCAATTAGTTCAACTTGCAGGCTAATGTGAAAAAATGACAAACGTCAAGAAAGGTTTAATCATCATCTAATACATATAACTGGCACATGAACCTGGAGACATAGCAGTGAATGAAGCTCATAAATCCCTTCCTCGTGCAACTAATGGTCTTATGTTGTGATGCCTATATTTTCTTCAATAGAGAAGATCTACGTATTGAAACACATGTGTCTATGGAGGAAATATTCAAATGTGCCTCTTATATTTAACCTCACCTCAGAAGATTGCTGATTTGTACCTATTTCTACCTATTCCTATTTCCCATGTTAACCTAAATAATACCTAGCCTAGCTCTATGAGATATAATATTTAAATTTCTTTCCCCTAACATTTATATAAGAATGTAAATTAATACTCAGGCACTATCATTTTTAATGTAGGGATAGACTGAATTTTCAAAAATGTTTTTAAAATGAAAAGAGGCGTTGTAATTTTCCTTAAGCTATAACTTAGTTTGTCTACAGAAGCAAAAGTGAGGAATAACACAATTCCAAGGGTATTAATAAGAACCATATAAAATGACACAAAGACAATTCAGGTTTACTTTACTGTTTCTGCTGTCTCCATTTGTAAAAATGTGTGAAAAATCTTATAAAGTTAAAATTGAACAGGGTGATTATATTGTCATGAAATAGTTGATAATTAAGACCTTAAAAAAAGAAGTAAAGCTACCGCCTCAAGTTTATATTGAAATTACTCAGAAATGCTAAAAAATCAATGCACAGGTTAATGGTAAATGGGATAAAAGTAAATTATAGTTTATTTCAAATCACCTTTATGAATCTGCCAACCAATGCTATCTTCATAAAATTTATATTTATTACAAAAGATGTGTCTTACAGAATTAGAGAATAAGTCAGACATACCACTCACACATATGAATATAAATCAATCATATGCCAACCGCCCTGAGACAGCTACTGTTTGCCTTGTTATTTATTTCCTTCCATGAATATTTTAGACTAATTTTTACATTTTATATGCATGATAAAAATACAGGAAATCCAAAAGCAAACATTTCAAATTTCAGAACATCCTTTCAGAGATATTATATGCATATATAAATGTGAGTGTGTGTATTTTTATACATATATAGTATTATACCCTGTTTTGCTCTATTCCTTTTATTTCATACACAATGGAGATCACTTCTATTTTCTATCATCACCAATCCTATCCATTCTATCTGTGAGTTTCAATCATATGCATACAATATAATCCACTCATAATGTGTCCCAGTTGAAAATTAGGAAGTTTCCAGGATTATATTATAAAATGATATAATCAATGTCCATATACATCTATCCATGCACACATAATAGTGAATACATTTATAATAAATTCCTAGAAGTAAAATGTTTGGCCCAAGAAGCCTGTTTTTGAAACTCTGAGTACATGCCCTCTCTGTAGTAAACAGGTAGTATAAAGCAAGAGCAAAATATAAATACCTCCAACTATTATACTAACAACAAAAAAAGATTGATGATCAACAGTATTCCCATGTCTTTATTTTAGCATGAGGAGTATAGTAACTGCTCAATTCGACCTAAATCCCAATCATCTAAAGTTCTTTTTATGTATGGTTATATTATTTATTAATAATAACATTTTTCCCTTTTGTTACAATGCCTTTTATCAGGCACTTACTATGTGCCAGCTGTCCAAAGCACATATTATCTAAAACAGTTCTCTCAACAATCAAATGAAGTAAATCCATATCCTTATTTACAGCTATGATAATAGGGATAGAGATGCTTTTTTTTTTTTATAAGAGAGAGAGCGAGAGTGAGAACAAGAGAGAGAGAGAGCGAGAGCAAGAGAGAGAGAGAGAGTGAGGGCAAGAGTGAGAGCGAGAGAGAGAGAGAGAGAGAACCCCACAAGGGGCAGAGAGGGAGGGAAGGGGAGAGTGAGAGAGAGAGAGAGAGAGAGAGAAATTGACATGCGGGGCTCACTCAAAGTGGGGTTTGAGCTCACCTGAGACGGTGCTCACCTGAAAATGGGGCTTGAGCTCACATGATGAGGGGCTCAAACTTATGAACCATGAGATCATGACCTGAGCCAAAGTCTGATATTTAACTGACTGAGCCACCCAGGCACTCCCAAATCAATGCTCTTACATCTAACGATGTAAGCGGAGGTTTCAGAAAACCATTATAGGGTTCCATAGTAAAGAAACACAAACAAGGTATTGGGTTTTTTTTAGACCATATATTTTGGTCAGTGCAATGCCAAAAATATATTTTTATATTGGTATTCTAATACTGCAATTTTCTAGGGTGATCTAAGATTTTCCTTTCTACTTGATATCTTGAAATAAAACATCTTATAAGACATTCTGATCAGTTTCTCAGTTTCAAGTTGTTGCTATGTTGGCCTTCTTCCACCGTCTTAGAAAATTTGGCAACTGTTATTGTTTATGTACATGCATTCCCAAGAAATATGGTTCTTCCTCCAACAATTATCTTGGATGCCAACATTATACTCTGAAAGAACTCGGGAAACATGGGCAAACTCATAAAGTTATTAAGAGATTCTTTTTTCAAACTAGAATCATGACCCCTTCCAGTTCGTAATGGTATTTTCTTCCCTTCTACAATGTCTTTGCTTAGTGCTCATCAGTTGTCTGAATGTACACTTTGATTCAAATCTCACTATCAGTAAAGGCAGAACTTTAAAGTCTTAAGAGCCTGCATTGGAATCATAGCCATGATCACACTAATTTTCTATCTGAACATGAAAAGCAATATTACAACAACTTATAATTATTTCAAGGTATCACACATCTGAAAGTACCAATAGTAGGTTAAAATTCATTGTAGACATGCGTTAATGTTGTTTTCTTCAGGACGTTCTTCCTAAGGTTGCCCTAAATTTTACCACATTAGTCACTAAAGAAATCCTAGAGATGCTTAATAGTAGCAGTAACATAATCTTAAATATTTCCTTCAATTTAAAGACCCACTTTGAAAAATTATGAATACGCCAAATGGCATCATCAGGTCTCTTTCTCCACCTTACTTACAATAGTACAAAATAAGTAACATGAGGGAAGTGGTCTTCATTAGTTTTTAATTATGTTTACCTTATATTGAAAATGACTAAAAGTTAAACATTTAGACATCTGGTTATTTGGTCTACATGATGCAAAAAGCCAGTTGTTCTGAAATATATGAATAAATAAATCAGATGTTTTCACTATAACTTAGTCACTCACTTATTTGATAATCATATAATAATATATTATTTGGCATGATATAGCCATGATCTTTAGTGGACTACTCCAAAAATGCTATTATATTAAGATAAGTAACTTAAAAACATTAGGACCAGAAATATAGAATAAAATTGGAAATTATCATGGTTGCCTGGGTGGCTCAGTGAGTTAAATATCCAACTCTTGATTTTGGCTCAGTTCATTATCTCATGGTTCGTGGGATCAAGCCCCATGTTGGGCTCCATGCTGACATCCTGGAGTCTGCTTGGGATTCTCTCTCTCTCCCTCTCTATCAAAATAAGTAAATAAACTTAAAAAATCAGAAATTATTTCATATTAATGGTTTTCCTTAAATGCATAAATATTCAGGGAATTTATATAAATACTATTGCTAAAACATGCTTACCTTATCACCTGTACTATTAAACCTAATTTAAAAATTAAATTAGAGGCACTGAGTGAATATGGAAATGCATTTGTGTTATTGAATAAAAGTGTAGAATTATATACTCAGCTATAGGCAAAAGTTTACAAATTATTGTACACATCCTGGATCATATGATAAATAAATTAATGCACCACTAGAGCATTTGTTGCTTAATGTAAATGTCACATTGTAAATGAGAACTAATCATTCCTCCTCTAATAGCAAGAGTTCAGCAGTGAAATAAAACATAAATCTTGATGACCTAAAAATTTTATTACGGCATTTGTAATTTCCCGTTAACAACCTAAGAAAATAATTTTAAGTGATGCTATATTTCAGTAAGATACAACCCAAAGTGAAGACTTCCTTGGGACAAGCCCAGAGAAGATAGAGGTGGTGTTGGCTCTACATTGTTTTTAAGGAACACATTAATTCGTTAAGTTTCATTATCATAATTTACAATAATGGATTCTTCATTATAAAAAGCAAACACTAAATTAATAACTGATTTAGTGAAGAAAATTGGATTTTAGTTATAAAAATTCTATTTACTAGGTTGTGGTTACAAAATTCTTGTACAAAAGTAAGTAAGTGTAAGATAAGGCCCAACTCAAGTTTGGGCTAGTGAAATACTTTTCCTTGCATAACTAATATATCCTTTAAATGACAGAACCAAAATAGTAACAAAAAACTTCAGTACGTATTATAAATCTTTCACAAGATAAATTCTTGAAATGTCTTTGAATTTCAAAGTTCTGGAAACATCTTTTTTTCTTCCTAAAGTCAACTGAGTGGCACATCCTCAACCTTTGGTAAAGGGAGAGAACTGTACTTGTACTTCTTGCTGTCCTAGCTCATGATCTACTCTGAGAATATAAATGTCAGTCCTGCTCTGTTTCTTTGAACACATGGAAGAAAAAATACAATATTTTTGTTATTCTTAGTGGTTTTGCAAAAGTCAGCATGGGGATATTAGAGTTATGTTAATCTGCACGTCAGCCTATGACTCATAATAATCTTTTT